TCTTAAAACATAAAATGTAAAACTTTGTTAGATGTAATCTAAATGAAAGCTTGCATTATTCAGAAAATGCTCAAATGTGTGATCCATAGAATAATTTTTCCTCAATTTTTTACAAATCTTTCTATTATGGTGTGTAAGTAATGCATTCAAATTGATATTGCAATTTTCATTATTCCAGGTTGAAGAAGTAGAAGAAGATGTAAATTATGTGGAGGATGAGGAAGATAATACAATCCAATATTTACGACGACAACTACAAATACAAGCAAACACAATTCAAATATAACAACAACAAATCAAAGACTTACAACGACAAGTGACACAGAACTGCAAAACAAACTTAACATTCCACCGCCACAAACTCACTAATAGACTAAGCAAACAAAAACAACAACAGCAGCAACGACAACAACAGCAACGGAGACTACATCATCAGGAACAAAGAGTATAACGACGATAACAACAACAACAGGTAATTATGCAAATATTCACTTTGATATGTTGATATCACATCAGCAGCCAATTTAAAAATTTGTTAGATGTAACCTATACGAAATCTTGCATTATTCAGAAAAGCTTCAAATGTCTGATCCTGAGAATAATATTTTTTTTTTTCAAATCTTTAAGGGTTTTACTAATACATAACATATACTCTTAGGGGGGTAATGACTCACGTTCGTGGCATTCCATTTTAACTCTTGTTTTTCTGGCTGAAAATACGTATATGTTTTGTCCCTCAAAGCTTTGTAACTCTGATAGGCACGATGAATGGTTTCAACAATTGGAGTTCACTTTGTGTGTGTGGATGTGTGAAAGTGAACTTTCACATGATGAAAAAAAAAAGTACTCGGTATATTTAATTTTAAATTTTGTTGGTAAAGAAAGGTATATTCTAAAAGAAGTTCCAAATAAAAAAAAAAACACGAATGCATTGCCACCGGCTAGCTCATCAGTTCAGGTAGAATTTTGTTTTGTACATATCATTAGATAGAAACGATCTCATATTCTAACACTGGGTTAACCTGGCCTGCTTTCCAGTCCTCTTCAAACCTACTTGACTTAGAATATGCACACTTGTAATAGGTCTGAACCTAACTGCTCACCAGGAACAGCTTATTAACCCCCCCCCCCCCGAAACCTAGGCTAGATTACAGGAATCTGGGTTTTTCTTGCATTACATTTTCAAGGTGGAATATTTAAAAGAGCTTTCTGGAGGAAAAAATAAGATGCATATGATGAGGCTGCATGTTCATATTGAGTGTTATATTTTGAAGTGTTGTAAAGATTTGCAGTAGTGATTTTTTTGCCATGTAAATGCTAATGAAAAAACAAACTTGCATTTGTTCCCATAAAGCTCTTTGTCTATCATGTCAATTGTAAGTATGAGTAAAATTATATTTATTTCTCTCAGCTGAGATAGTCGACATGAGGTTGCTCAGCACATCTAAAATTTTCAAGTAAAGATCGGATTGGGATAAAACGACTTGTAGTTGATACCGGATCACTGACGCCGATCCAGAGGCAAAAAACAACATTACTGGCACATGTAATTCATCTGCCACCAAACAGAAATGAAATACAATCAAGGCCAAAAGAGTTAATGAATGCTACTTACTTGTTATTTTAGACAACGATCCATCATCGGAAAAACTGCGTTGTTAATAAGTTGTATAAGGTCCAGCTCACGCAAAAGGAGCAGCAGTACGCCGCCATGTTTTGAGTCATGCTCAGGCGCGTTTGTAACCCGTGATCTGATTGGCTGGTCCCTGTGCGAGATTTGTACGAGATTTGTATGGGCATTTGTATGAACTGATTAACGGCAAGAAAAACCAAAAAAATCGACATATTCAAACTAAAATACAAATAAAAATATAAAGGGTTATATATAAAAAAAAAAATGGAGCCTCATACCTACATCGGATTTTAATCAGATTGATAAATGATGTGCAGCAAATTGGAATAAATTATGACATACGCTGCATTTGTTTTTCGAACTTAGCGACAACCCACTCTTGTTTGAAAATTGAAAGCGCAACAGTAGTAATGGCTAGGATGCAGTAGTATACTAGTGTAAGTGCAACTTTGTATCAATGAATGTGTTTTTTTATGATTATTACCTGCCATGCAGTGACACATATCCATTATTCGGCTTAATAAAAAATCCGGATTGATTTACGTCCTCGCTCTCAAGCATAAAAGTTTATCAAAACAAAACAATTTATTCAGAACTCTTTCAGCACTCTTTTCACTGGTATTTGGGAGAGTGTTTTTTTTAAAGCTCGCTCACAAATAAATCATGACATTTCAGGGACAACAATCTGGTCTTGAAAGTCCACATATTGAAGGGAGGAGAGTGGTTTGAACTGCAGTTTTTATGCAAATTCATGCGGCCGTCCTGGGCCTATTGTCTAAACCTCAGAATTGGGTTTTATGAGGGCGCTTTTGGTTAACCAGGGTTTGACCCAAGTGTTTGAATATGAGATTGTAACTTAGCATAAGCCATTGTTTCGGTGGTGAATTGGGGTTTGGGGGTCAGTCTACCACATTTTATTCCTTCTAAATTAAACATTTAAAAGTATTTCTTTTTTTACTTCCAAAAGGTCCATGTTCAACACGCTTGTGTGATGGGAAAGGTAAGAATTATTTATGAATTATCAGTAGATTATTACAGTATGGATCTAAAATGGATGAGTTATCTGCACCTACCGATGCTGAAACTGAAACCTTAAGGCCTTATGGTTGACATTTATATTTAAAAAACCTGCTTTGACCACCTGCTACATGTACAGTGAGGGTTTTCCTGCTTAAAAGTTCTTTTATCATGTTTATCAATACGAAATAGTAGTACATGTGTATGGTAGGTCTGAGAATCTGAATATCGCGTCAGCACTGTAGTGTCACAGAAAAACATTGGATATACTTATCCAGCAGAAGTTGGTACAATTTTATGTTAGCATTTTTTAAATGTTTTTACATTATAATATACAAAATACTGGTGTTCAGTTTTTACTCCCATGCCGACAGTGCCAGGGAAGCTTGGGGGAGATGAAATAATTATGTAATTATTTGATCATCGCAATGAAATGAAGCAGAGTATGCAATCTATATCATATTTAGTCAGGCAAACAAAATGCACAGGAAAACGGAGAAGGCCAAACATATCTGAGTGGCATTGGATTGCAAGTGTCTTGTGTCCAGATATTGATTTTATTCCAGACCCACCCAAGCCCCCAGTACTACAACAACTTCCTGCTAATGTGATATATGATGTAATTTATTTTGATTTAAAGACAACTTCTAAAGATTTTGTTATTTCTGTAGATGTCATAATTCTAATATATTTCTGATAATCAAAATTGTTTCTATATTCTTTTTCTTGAAATTAATAGAAATAAAAAACATGGACGAGAAGTATTTTAAAACATTATTGTTTTATAAATCGCATATTGATAATTTTCAAATTATCCATATTTCATATGCACTTATATGTACAATACCTACATTATAGCACTGAAACAGTCAGAAATATAATGTATATTCTGTTAAATTACAGGTTTGAATGCTCATATACTCCAGATTGCAGCTGTGCATAAAGATAAAGTCTTCAGTCAATATGTTCATACACACATACCGATAGCCCCATAAGAGTCTGTAGTGACATGTTTATCTTTTATAGGAGAACAGTTGTTTATAGAGGAAAACCAGTTGACAATGTACCAATTAAAAATTGTCTGTTTAATTTGTTGGAGTGGCCTAAGTCATTTTAGTCATCCACTATGCATTACCCACAATTGTAATGTTTTTGACAGTCGACTGCTTGTATATTAGTTTTAATGAAATGTAATCTTTTAGATGAGTTCACAAACACAGTTGATGGCTTTGTAGATTCTTTACCCCTTTTCAGGACACTCTATCCAGACATACATTCAGGAAGGTCCAGTGAGTGACATTGTGGGTAGTTCTTATACTGCCCACAATGCAATAGGTGATGTTGAAGCTCTGCAGTCATTATTTAAAAAATGTGCTATTCTGCATAGTTTTGGGATAATTTATACTACATCTGTAAATATATCATTATTTCCACTAATAGAGCACAACGTTTTAAGTAGATGTGTGGCTGAACGAATTGCAGCATCTGGTCTCAGTTTGAATCACTTGAGACGAGCATATTCAAGGGATAATCATAAGGGTATACAGTGTTTACTAACAGAGATATTCTGGAATAAACCAAGGAGTACTCGTGATAGCCGAATCATAACAAATATTAATGACTATTAAATTATAGAGATTTATAACAATTATTTATGATTTTTTCATACTTTTATTTTTGTGAATGTGAGTTACTGGAATATTGAAAATTGTTTTGTTAGATTTACATTTACAGGTGAATTTATAGATACATCCTAAATAGTAAAGAATGCAGATTTGAGTGGATAGCTTCTATTTTTGTACTGAAAATCTATTCAATTTTCTTTATTTCTAATGTATTATTTGCAACATTGAATCTTTAAAATTTACTACCGGTGTATAATAAATAAATAAATCCAGACACAATATAATTTAATTATTTATTTATTTAAAAGCATGAATAAAATATTCTTGTTCCAAGAATTTTACATTTAAGGTAATACTTCTCATTTTTGAATTACAATCCTATATTCAGCTATGGCTAAATGTATGGTCAGATAATATTAAACAACTTAGGGGGTCTGAAAATTCTGTTTTTAGGCCTAATTTTTGCTTCTACCAGGAATACTGGTTCGAATACCCCCAATTTTTATTAATTGAAAAAAAGAGCTAAATTCGCCGAGTATTTTATTAAATTTTAAAAGAAATCTGACAAAAACCTTTCTAGATTTAGTTAGGAGAGTAACATATATTAATGAAAAATTAACCTTGGTATGTTTTTAAAATAGCAATTTTGCCCAATGATAGGAACAAACACAGCACGAATTAGTATTTCATTGACCAATTGTCAAATTGAGACAATAACAATGATGATAAACTGTGTTGATGGTCACTTTTTTAAAACTTTTATAGTTATCAATGAAACTTTAAAATCACAATGTATGCAGATTTTGTGTCACTTTTTTGATAAAAAGCAACTCGGTAACCCTACGTTTTTATTTTGAATTTAGCAATAATATAATGATTGCAAACTACATGGAAAGTTTTATGAAAATCTGGCGAAAAATTTTAAAGGAAGCTAACTACCTGTTTCCATACAATAAAACCTGCAGTCCAGTCCAGTTGTGGAAGTGAGAACCGCAGTCATCAACAGCTTTGTGTACTTGAGGCAAGCAACACTGGCAATGGAGTGACTGGAATCAAAGGCCCTTCATTTCTCATGGCATGTAACTACTACGAATATGTCACAAGTACATCAATTGACTATATGCATATGGTACTGTTAGGTATAACAAATTGTCTATATGCTCTCAGTTTTTCAACATCATTTTCCTCTGAAGAGTATTCCCTCGTTTCTTGTCTTGGTCTCATTGATAAACAACTTTCAAAAATAAAACCACCATCAATAATTACACGCATACTGGAAAGCATCCAAGCTGTGATTTTGGTTGTTTTATTATTCTCTGTCAATTTTAGCAGGACATTGAGAAATATGAGAAATTGTTGCAATACTTTGTATACATGTTTGCTTCACTCTATGGAGAACAATACTGTACACTGATTTTTTACACCTTCTTCTTTACCTTCCTACATGTGTAAGAGATTTGGGTCCTTATGATCTTACTCGTGTTTCCCATTTAAATACATGAACGGTAATTTACTTAAGCTGTTCCATGGCAATCAACATGTGGATTTGCAGATTGTTGGCTCAGTAAACATT